AAAAATAAGGTACGCTGTTCTTGCTTTTTCACACAAAAATGTAGGGACGGAATGTTAGAAGATTGCAAATGTACATAGATAAGACAGTACTTACTTACTCGGCGAAAAACCAGGAGAATGGAGACATAAATCCGTTATAGATGCGAAAACTTAGTCCGTGGTTTATTAAAGACGCACTGAAGCCTGTGATGCATATGTTCTCTAAGAACACTAAGGTATTAACTCGTTTTGCTAACTTTGCCAACGGTTCTTTATCTCCGTTCTCCTGTTTTTCCGAATATAATGTTCTTACTACTCTCTTATCTATGCGCCTAATACTGCTCGCAAACGCGCTTCACAATTTGCGCGGCCGCAAATGTACAAAAGGTTTTCTGTTTGGCTGAATTATTTTCGTGAAATAAACTATAACTGATGTTAAATTCTCCAGATATCGTCACATGAGTTATGACATTACCATACGTCTACCATTGCTTTTTCAGAGAAAACATTGCCTCGAAATAGCTATGGTACCACATTGCAGTGCTTTTGTGGACATATGCAACATGTTTGAAGACTTGAAAAGTAATCAACAACTTGCAAATAGGCTATAAGAATGTTTTCTGACAAGTTGTTTTGGAACCTATGGGCGATATATTGAAATCATTCCGTTTTGACATTATTACTAGCATGGATTACTCATTTTACTAAGCCCCTACCTAGCCGACAGTTTAACCGTATCTAAAACAAGTGATCCCAGGCAAGGCAAAGGGCCCCACAGCAGGGACCGCGAGCTGAGGCCCCACAGGAGGGCCCCGACACCGCCGCTTATCAGCTCGCTTATGTTACGGCACACAAAAGCTCTTATCGGATCAGTCATGTGTTAAATTGCATAGATACGAAGCGCAAAACAGGGGAGCGTCTTTACAGGAAATTATTCACATTTGAAGATATTAAAGTGTGCATGACATGTGATGAAACCAGCTTCCCTATGCATGTTCGTAAGCGTTTGAGTAGAACACCGCTCTGGCAAAATGCAATTTTTCCTTCTAGTAAATACGCTCCTCGATACCTCATTGTTTGATTGCGTCATCACACCTTGCATGACTTTGATTGAGAGCCAACAGAAGGTCGTTTTATCTGGAAATCGTCCTAGCGGAAGGCAGATATGGGTGACTCAGTCATTATATTTGTCTTTGCCTTCATCACCGCATAATTTATGGAATGACGAGGTATCTGAATATCGTCGTTATGACGTCATAAATGCCAATGCGGCCTTGAAATACTCTCCCTGAAAAATCCTCCACAGCTTCGCGGGCGTGTAGCTCAGAAACAAGAGGGATTTGGGTCTTCAGAGGGACAGGACTGTGAACTGCGCCGAATGATCTTCAAGGCGACTATTTCAGTTCAAAACCCCATAGAAGTGTGGAACACTCCCTTTAAGGGTACTTGCTCCAACACTCCATATCTTTTTTGAGGCAGTCACACATGCCCGTGCGAATACACATTCAATTCTGCCATACGCCGGTTGAATGGCATGCCGAAGCATATAAGTAGTAAAGCACGATTACGATGGTCATCTAATATACGACAAGCGGCAGCGACAGCCAGCTACACTTTGGGGATAGCCTTCCTGGCATGGTTCGGACCTATAAACGTTGAATGTCAATGCGCGTTTTGGAAATGCTCAAACACATGCCAGCTTGAGCCAAAACGTTCTCGACAATGCGAAGTTGGAAACAGCGCAATTAAGAAGCACAGCGGTCCCCCGGGATCCAAGCCAAGCCAATCACCCCTCGTCCCACGTCTCATATTACGCTGCTCCACCAGCTCCCTCCCCGGTGCCTCACTCTGTCCTCCATTACCCTCCGTTTCCTTCCCCCAAGCACGGTTACGGCCCGCCGGCTACGACCGGGACAGGACGGCGAGTTTGCCCCGAGGGCAGCACGCCAGTCGTCATCGAGCCAACGCCGGCGGACGGCGCGGGACTGGCGCCTTGCCCCCGTCGGGAACGGCAGCAGTTTCCCCCGTCCCGCGGACCGCACTAGCCGGCTGTATAATGACGCCAGGCCGGCCGAGGGCCGGGCGAATGTGTCCTCACAAGGCTTGGGTGACGGCTGGGGTCCCATGCACCGGGACTCGCATGGAGCTCCTCGTTGGGCGAGACCCTCTCTCTCTCTCCCTCTTTCTCTCTCCACTCGCTCTCTCTTTCTCTTCCTCTCTCGCTCTCTCTTTCTCTCTCTCCGCTCTCTCTCTTTCTCTTCCTCTCTCTTTTTCTCTCTCGCTCCCTTTTCCTCTCTATCTAACCTCTCTCTTTCTTTTCCTCTCTCTCTCTTTCTCTTTCTCTTTCTCTTTTTCTCTCTTCTTTCTCTTTCTTTCTCTCCCTCTCTCTCTTTTTCTCTCTCTCGCTCTCTTTCTCTCTCCCTTCTCTCTCTCTCTCTCTCTCTCTCTCTCTCTCTCTCTCTCTCTCTCTCTCTCTCTCTCTCTCTCTCTCTCTCTCTCTCTCTCTCTCTCTCTTTCTCTCTCTCTCTCCTTTTCTAAAGCAAAAAAATCTGCGCTTTTCCTTGGCATATACCGTTTCTAACAATCGCTGCCTACGACCATGCTCACCATCCTTTTTCTCTCTCCACAAACACAAAGAATGTGGTGTCGGCAGAGAACAAAGCACGATGGACTCATTGACGAACCGCCGGGCTACGCCACGGCAAATTTAGACATCATTTTCCTTTTCAATCAGTCGTGAATGTCAGGGGCGCCGTAACGCCGCGGTCACGCTGCTCGTTCATCGCGATTGACACGCTCCCGTCTCACGTGTACCGCTCTCGCCGGCCTCGACCAGGTTACTTTGCGTGTTCGCCCGCTCTTTTCAGTCCCTGGCCTGTGTGCGTTTCCCCCCCCCCCCCCCACTCTGTGTTGAAAACTTGACACGATTGGACGGCAGCGCATCGCCAAATGTTAGCTTGCTTCACATCTTGAGGACGTCGCTCAGAGCAAGGGTGCGATCAAGCGGTATGGTGGCGTGGACAGCGGCTACCGAAGGTTTAAAAGTGCTGACTAAAATGGCTGAGTCTGGTATTATTTTTTCAATTACGACTTCATTTACTTCTCTGCCCTGCAATCATTGGTCATATGTCGATACTTGAACTAATCAGTTCTTTCAGTTCACCATCATCGCCACTCATAGCAGAAAGCGCAGCCATGTAATTCCAAGTGGTATAATTACACGCCAGCGTAGTCCTTGAACATGGACCAAACACCTTTAACCTCTGGGTCTCTCACGTGACACTTTCAGGCACTTTGGTTCACTGAAGCACTTTGGTTCCTCAGCTGTGCTGTTGCCACTAGCCCGGGAGAGTGATATGTGCAAATTCGACGTTTTTGTTTACACTCTTCTGTGAATGGTGTTATATATGCAGGGCTATTTTTGGTATTAGGCTTCTTGTTTGCATCCACTTTTTATGATGAGTTTTAAAGAAGAAAACGCCACAAGGTAGCTTGTCGAAGGTATTTCGGCATCTCATGGACAATTTTGGTCACAAAACGAGGAAATGGCTGGAGAATATTTATTCATACAATACGTTGACAGTGGCCCCGGAGACCCCAGAGATTATCACAGCTAGTGATGTCACGTTCAAGCAAGATCAAAAGTTGGCCAAACCGATGAATAGTTGGTTGTGATCTATGTGACTAAATACCGGCCAGCCAAGTCCTCCAAAAATCGCTGATTTCTGCAAGTGCAAGAACGAGTTATAGCAATGTATTTTGTATTCATCCGACTAACAAAGGTTTACTCTCAATCATGTCAATGTGCATAACTTGCACATGTTCCTGGAAGATTGATGGTCCTTTGATTTTTTTATTGATTGCTCTTATTCCTCCATCTGATGGAGAAATAAGAACAATTCACGGTCTGGGTGAATGATGCCCCAGCCATCATTCATCCAGACAGGCTGCAGTTTAAGTGATTCTAGAAACTGAGAGCCATACACGGTTTAATGGAACATAAGCCATACCGAGTTCTTCTAGTGCAATTTGAGATGCGTTTGGCTGTGAGCAGTACCAAATTGCTACTAAGTATATCATTTTCATGCTGTTGAAAACGACTTAGATAAGGCAGTGTTTCAAACTCTAGAGCACGTGTGTGGCGCAGATTCGCAAGATTACTTCCAGTAAAACGCATCGCCCGGGGTTCCTAGTTGTACCTGCTTTGACTCACAGCTGTTTGCTGTTGCAGTCAGTTAGCAACACCTTCCGCATTGCTTCTCAAGTGAAGCGTTAGAATGTTGCGTGTCTTTTCTATGTTCGCTCTGGACAATGAAGAACGATATATTGGTATGTCAGGTAATTCGTTTTGTGTAATATGTTCATGTTAACCTTTCATGATACATCCTTCAATAATTGTTTTTGTATAGGGTTTGTTTCAATGTACAATGATTTATAGTACTGCTTGGCTGCGACACGACATGAATAAATTGTTACTAAGCTGTCCGAGAACTGTGGAAATTATACAAACGCTACGTTGCTTCGTCTTTCATGGTCTTCCTTGAAAACGGTGCGAGAGGTTTCCTGCACCGACGGAAAACCAAAACATTTTACTTCAATTTTCGAATGCTTATTTTGTTTTGTTTCCATTACCAACACTACTCTCGCAATTGAGGCTCATCAACCTTTTATTTATCTATTTTTTACATGTTTATCTCACTACCAGTTTTTCATTCGTGTTTTATCCCACTACCGCGACGAGCGACTTTGATTTCGTGTGCCCCCAAAGATTTTCCTTAAAGTTGACGGTGAATGAAAAATGACTGGCATTTCAGATATTCTGTTGTTTTGTGGTAAATACATCAGCCAGCAGCTTTCATCAATGCGAAAACATCAAAGCATTAACTCATTTAAAGAACGGGGGGAGGGGGGAGTTGGATAACGGTGGGAAACCGAAAGCACGCCATGAAACCATGCAGCTTTCTGTCTACTAGTGCTACCAGTCGACCACGTTTCAAGACACACAAATTCTATGACCCAATTAACCAATCATGTTTTCGTATAACCTGCACAATGTGGCTATTCTGGATACGCGTGCAGTTTAACAAACGTACTCACTAGCATGCGCACTCGCAAATGCGCACACACATACACACGGAGCTTGGCAATAACATAAACTAAAACGCATGATGTGATGTCGTTCGAGCGTTCGCTGAGCTCGTTGGGTACAGTCACTCGCGCCCGCCGGTTCCCGTTCCGCCTCAGGAAATCCTTTCCATGTGGACTCGTCCTAACGCACAGTCGTCATTGCAGACAAGTCAAGGTACTAGTGCGAACTTCAATAACTTTCTCCTGAGCATTAGCTTCCGCAAGCGTGACACTGAAAATGGCATTATTCGTGTCAAGCTTCTCTCCACTTTGCCACTGCCCCGCTTTACTGCGTCCTCTTGCACACAATCGAAACAACCAACCACGCTCACATATCACAGAGGTCAAACGCGCTGGATGATTCCGTTGAGCTGAGTGCCGCCAGCACCGTCAGCACCGAGCACACCGACTAGCCACGACCTTCCTGGGCCAGGTCAAGGTCGTCCAGGTTGACGTACTGATGCTGCTCCTCCGCAGCACTCGGACCGCTGTCGGCTGGAGGTTGACGAGCGGCGATGTTTTGCACGTTTTCATACTGGTGCTGCGTGCAGGGCATCGCGTACAGGCCCGCATGTTGCCCGCAGGGGTCGGCGTACAGGTTCGAGCAGACTCCGCTGAATCGGACATCCGTCAGATCTTTAAAACGTCGGTCGAGACGCCTGTCAAAACAGAAATGGGTATTTGCATGTGAATACCGCTGCTGTGAAGTATATTTCTTTTTTCAAACATAGTTTGAGAAGGCATTAATTCGCTACCGCTAAGGGGACTTCGACGTCTGTGACTGCCAGCGGTGTTCATATAATCTGGTAAATCAGATCTAGCCGTCGGATCGACGTAAAAGTTAAATGGGAATCGGTGACTCTGATCAACCAAGCTCACGAAATGGCCCGTTCGTATCTGGCGCGTGGTTATTGACGCCACAGGTCCCGCGAATTGCGCTAAAAAGGCGAACATTGAACACCTCCTCCAGATTTCATGAAAGAGATTTCAATAACCATACCTGATAGGCGGAATGCGACTACCACGCCGGCTTTGTTGAGAATATCTCTCCAGCATGTCGTGCAGTCGCTCCCAAATTTTTGGTGGTCCCTTGGGCATTCTTTGCACGTGCTTAGTGACAACCAAAACGTGACTACAACTTTTCCGGTTACTGAGCAGCGGCGGGTTTAAGGAGCACTGCGCAGCGACCTACGGTCGGCACGGACGACTGGCGGCATTTGACAACTCCGCCGATGGCTCGTGGTAGGCCGACACTGTTCGTCCACTCACCCATCCAGGCTAGCATACAGGTTGCCTCCTCCGGTTTCAGCCTCCTGCAGATCTGGCTGTGCGGGGTGCTGCTTGACGCCGCGCTCCGCGTCGTGTCTGTCGAGGCCGGCCGCCACCACTCGCAGATTCTCCACCTGAGCTAGATGCCTTCGCTGCTTGCGTCTGATGCACAGCCGGGTGACGACGACAGTGACCGCGGCGGTAGCGGCGGCACTCCCAGCAGCGACGGCCACCAGGAGAGACCAGGGCGGGCCGCCGCCGTTTTCCTGTGTGCTCTCCAGCCCTGGCTCCTCACCACTGGATGTTTGCAGGTACTGCCACACCGGTGTCCGAGGCGCGGCTCCCGCGCAGAAGGAGGTGTTGCGAAAGGTTTGGTATGATTCTGCTTGTGTGGGCTCTGTGAGCGAGTCGTGGCTGGTTGCGCGCAGCCAGTCCAGCTGTGGTCCGCAAGTCAGCACGTTTTTCTTGATTGTGTTTAAGGCGGCTGAGGGCCGATTTCGGTAGCACTGATGCTGGCAAGTGGCAGAGCCGAAGTACAACGATCGGGGCGCTACATTGGACATTGTGTTCTCGATAAACCATAGCCAACAACTGCAAACGTTTGCGAAAGCTCCAGTGCTTATGGTGTCGAAAGTGTTTCCATGTACATACAGCTTGAGCGAAGCAGGCGCACGCAGTGCATCGGGGTACATATTTTCGATTATACAGCTTTGCATGCTGAGCGAGCCATTTACGTCACCAAGATTTATTGCATTGCTGTGCAACTTGCCGATTGTAATGGCGTCAAACTCGACCTCCATGGCGGGATATCCCCCGCCCCCTTCGCTTTGTGTTCTGTGCATGCCCTTCGTGTGCAGTTCTGAGATTGTGGTCCCGCGGAGATACACTTTTGAGAATGAACTCATGTCATTTGCTTTCCAGTGGCGTACGGTGGTGTTTAAGACTTCCAGAGTCGCGTCGTTCACGCCCGGGCGGGACAGAAACGTGTCCTCCTCGACAACTTGAATGTCGCTGTTGATAATCTGAATCCAGATGGCCTGGAAATGGTCAGTAACACAGCTGGTGGCCCGGCAGTAATCATGGCTCCCAATGGAGCATACAGATGTGACAAAACCGAAGCAAGCATACTGCTCAGCTCTAGCTGCAAGTTGCATCCAAGTGCCACCAATTTTAACGGCACGCTGCAGACCATGCTGTATGTGTGAGCTAAAGCCGGCAGCACGATGAGCGGTTGATAGTCAACTCAGTGCACGAAAAGCATATCAGTTTGATGTCGGAGTAAAGACGCAAGCCTCTAACCTGTTGGATGTCGAACATGCCCCGTCCGAGGCCGGTTATCGTTTGGTTTTCAATTCTGATCCTATTCTGTCCTGTCACGGTTGTCAGCAGCAGCAGCAGGATCAGCGGAGGCAGCTGATTCACTGATGGCGCGCCTGAACGGCACCGTTCGGAGGTCACACGTGGCATGGACATCATTGAGTGGAGTTGTCGAACGCGGGGTCTACCAGTGAGACATTTTTAGGAAACGGATTTATTTTCACCTTGTAATAATAAAGACATGCGAAGCTGAAATGGGATCACGTTTCGTTCCCCCCCCCCCCGCCCCCAACAAAAGATCATGGCGAAATACCCCAGAACCACTTGTTCAAAGCATCCAGTATGGTAAGAAAGCGAAGGCCAGAATGACCTGCACGCTCAAAAATCGCGTTTCTTTTGCATTTCCCGACTTGAAGATATCTGTTATGTAGGAATTTGGCTGAACTATCACCAAAACCTCAGCTTTGTGACCTTCGTCGCGGCGGTTGTTGTGCCCTCGAGAGATATCAGTTGAGTAGAGGTGCATTCCCACAGAGTCGATGAGGGCAACTGCGCCCTTACAGTTAGACGCACGCAACATAACTCCGAACACAACATAACTCACCACTACGACATACTCCCCACTCGCTAACAACGTAACTCACCACTCACTAGGCAATAGCAAAGTTTTACACAGTCCTGGTACCCCTGGTGCGGTCGACCGACCGGCACCTCAGACAACAGGCCTCACGGCACCGAGTCCCGGCCTGGGGGCTGCCGGCGCCTACCGGCAGGCCAGCCTGCAGGAACACGTCGACCTCCCTCCGCGGCTACCAAATTGATGAGGCCGTTACAGCTGGAGGTGGTCTGGTCGCCGCCTGCTGCATTTACTGCGCCTAACGCCGCCCTTGGGGAGGGAGGGGGGGAAAGGGGGCAGGTCGGCAAGGTGGAGGAGTCGGCCGTTGTTGGGCTTGATCAGGTCTCTGCAGAATCGGGCGGAGAAAACGACGATTTCTCAAGAGAATTTCCGCTGGACATCTTGATGCTGTAGTCACGTTTGCGACCACCCCCGATGACTGTTGCTACGCTATCCCACAGCTTGTTATGGAGATCTTGTACGTGAATCTCTGTACCGACCTTCAGAGGTGGCAGAGATACGGCAGTCCTTTTGTATTGTTCATCAGCTGTGGTCTTCGGTGCTGCTGCTTTGGAATCACAGCTGCAGCGGTCTGCCGCCCACGGGAGAAAGCATGGGGACCTACAGGAACGTGGGAGCTAAGATGATGACGTAAACGTAAATGACCTGACGTAAACGATGACGTAAAGGACCTTAGGCAGGGAGCGGCCATCAGCCCGGTTGTGTTCCGAAGCTTCAGAAGGTCTTCATCGAAAACATCAATGTTGAGCTCTCCACTATGGCACGTGTTTTAGATGAGCGCCTTGATGGTCGTGACTGCAGCTTCAGCGTGTCCATTTGACTGCGTGTAATGGGGCGTTGGTTGTTGCAGCCTCACTTCCAAACGTTGCGGAAGCTCCTGAAGTCATGGCTAGGCAACTGAGCACCACCATCGGAGCGGAAACAGACTGGAACGCCGAAATCGACGAATGCTTTTCTCACGGCTTCAGCCGGCCGGCTCGAGTGTCTACTCCGGGAAGGACAAAAACGATTGATCATCCTGGGAGTCTGCCACGCAAACTAGAAAATGACGGCCAGCGTGAGAGAGCAGGTCTGCCGAAACGTCCTCAAAGATGCGAGGAGATAGAGAGCCGGTCATCAGCGGCTCCTTGACTTGCCTCGGGCGGTGCAGCCAGCGCGCCTCGCAGCTGTCGACCAACTTCTCGATGTCTGAATCCAGGTCTGGCCACCAGACAGTCTGCCTGGTGCATCACTTCATTCGCTCAGTTCCTTCACGAGCCGCGTGGAGGCTGCCAAGAGTTTGAAGTCAAGCAGCAAGCGGCACGATGATCCTGGGGTCTTCCGGCACAAGGCTGTCCACGGCAGAGAGGTCTCCGCAGATCGCCCAGTAGGGCTGCAGATCGATCTCCAGACGTTGCTTGGATGACGGCCAGCTCCTTGACGTGACAGAGCAGCCGTTGGTGATGATATTCTGATGATATCATCTGATGATATCATCTGATGATATCATCAGCGTCGCTAGATGATATTCTGGTGAGGTCCTCCAATCGAACGTCCTTGACATGCTCTGGCACCTCTTCGTCACCGGAGAACAGCGTGCCCGTCACATGTCGTGCGTGTAGTTCCGCTTGGTGCATCAGTGCGGCATCTTCAGCTGTGGGATCATTCACAGGTGCTCTAGATAGAGCGTCCGGGTTAGCGCGTTCCTTCCCTTTCCTCCACAACGCCGTGAAAGTGAACAGCGACATCTTCCTCTTGAGCCAATGGGGTCGAGGATTCTCCACCGCGTCGAGGGTGCAGCAGCTCAGGTTCAGCACAAAGGGCTTGTAATCCTGTAAATGTAAAAATGAAACCAGACAGGCCGGGAACGTATATACGGCACTTGGATAGTTTCCACACTGCAACCAACAGTTCCAGTTCGATGATGGAGCATCGAGTCTCTGTGTTCGTAAGAAACCGATATCTTCACTTGACAATTCGCCAGCAGTCTTTATGTTGCTGTAGTAGTGCGAAGCCTAGTCCACTGAGGCGAGCAACATCGGTCTGTAACACGGTTAGCAGTGTTTGGTTGAATTGGACCGGTGCTGGCGTTGAAGACACCGCTGGCTTCACGGCGTTGTAGGCGGCATCGCGCTCTGGTGTCTGAAAGAATTCTTTCGCCTTCAATAGATCCCGCAGAGGCTATGCAGTAAACGCGATGTCATAGCTGAAATCCGACAGCTGCTGAACTATTCCCACGAAGAAAAGCAATTCAGTGATGTTGGAGGTCGCTGGGAAACAAGCGATAGCTCTCACATTGGATTGGTTTGCTTTGACGCCTCGCTGGGTTACTTGATGCCTGCAGTAGTCTTTTCCTGCTTCTGCGAAGACGAACTTCTCCATCTTCAAGGTGATCTCGTGCTCCCGGCAGTGCTGCAGAAGGGCTCGGACCTACTTCATGTGAGCTTCAAAATTCTCTTCGAAGACCAGCATGTCGTCAACCATCTAAATGATGCCGTTTCAACCTTCGACAGCGATGTCTCCCCTGCGACAGAACTCGTCCCCGGTTGAAACGAGGCCCATGGGCCCCCTGAGAAAACAAAAGCGATCTCATGGGTTGATGAAAGTAGTGAGATGCCGACGTCTGCGTCCAACGGGAGTTGCTAGAAATCCGACGCCGCTTCGCGGACGTGAAAAACGGCACTCAGGAGGTATTGCTGACACTGTATCCTTCGGTGTGACGAGTGGTCGCCCGACGAAGGGGTTCAGCTTGGTGAAGTCGACACAGACACGAGGATCTCCCGGCCCCTTGGGAACGATCGCCAGTGGCTGGCACCATTCTGATGGCTCATCACCAACCGCTTCGATAAGGCCCATCTGAACCACACTGTCAAGCCTTTCTTGGCTTGTGGCATCCCGGCGAAAGGGATGTTTCTTGCATCCCCGATGGCAAGGGCTGCACTTGCTGCTACAGATGAATCTTCATGGGCTCACCAACCACAGCCTGAACGGAACCATATTCGGAGAACACATCAGCGAACTCTTCCACGAGGTCCCTTCACATTCTTGCTTTGTCGCGAAGAGACGTTTGATCGGCTACGGATACCAACAGCAGGCTCGTTCCACGTTGTTTAGATGCTCATGCCTCTATTGTCCGTTCTTCCATGGGATACGGCGGACAGGGCTGAGGGTAAGGATCAGACAAAATACCCATACTGTTGGATGCGTACCAGGAGAGGAGCATGCCCCGAGCATCACGGCAGACGTGGACTGTCTCGTGAGTTGACCTGTGCTGGAGAGTGATCTGCCACGGAAGGAGCCGACGCGTAACATGGGTTGACCGTTTGCAGCTACCACGTCTCGCGGTGCCGAAAAAGTGAGCTGATGTTCTCGCATGCCAATATTGTGCAGAATGACTGGTCCCAAGATGCCGCTATCGCGAATCACTTGGACATCTTGTTTTGCTTGCCTGAACTGCGTCCCCGGGATCACCGGGAGTAAAGGCGCTCGAGGGTGAGGACGGGCTGCCGAGACGTGCGCAGAGTGGAGCACCTGACACAGATGGGTGTCACTGCTCGGGGCGCGAGCGCAGGAGAAGATGGGCCTCCGAACCTCGAACTGGGCGTCTCGAACTTCTTGCGACACATGTTGCTGTAGTGACCCTTGACGCCACAGTTGTTGCAGACCTTGCCAAAAGCTGGACACAGCTTGTAGTATATGTGGGTCGACCCACCGCAGCATCCACGCACTGAGGTACTGCGTGCTGGTGGGTTGTAGCTGGAGGCGCTCCGAGCAGCTAGCTATGAGGTGCTCTGAACAGCTAGCTACGAGGTGCTCCGAACAGCTGGCTAGGAGGTGCTCTGAACAGCTAGCTAGGAGGTGCTCCAAACAGCCAGCTAGGAGGTGCTCTGAACAGCTAGCTGGGAGGTGCGCTGAACAGATAGCTAGGAAGGGCTCCGAACGCTAGCTAAGGGGTGCTCCGAACAGCAGCTAGGAGGTGCTCCGAACAGCAGCTTGGATGTGCTCCGAACAGCAGCTAGGAGGTGCTCCGAACAGCAGCTAGGAGGTGCTCCGAACAGCTAGCTAGGAGGTGCTCCGAAGAGCACCTAAGGGGTGCTCCGAACAGCAGCTAGGAGGTGCTCCGAACAGCGGCTAGGAGGTGCACTGAACAGCCAGCTAGGAGGTGCTCCAAACAGCTAGCTAGAAGGCGCTTCCGAACAGCTAACTGGGGGGTGCTCCGAACAGCTAGCTAAGGGGTGCTCCGAACAGCAGCTAGGAGGTGCTCCGAACAGCAGCTTGGATGTGCTCCGAACAGCAGCTAGGAGGTGCTCCGAACAACAGCTAGGAGGTGCTCCGAACAGCAGCTTGGATGTGCTCCGAACAGCAGCTAGGAGGTGCTCCGAACAACAGCTAGGAGGTGCTCCGAACAGCAGCTAGGAGGTGCTCTGAACAGCTAGCTAGGAGGTGCTCCGAAGAGCAGCTAGGAGGTGCTCGGAGCAGCTAGCGCCATCGTGCCATCCCATCGGCTGCGTCATGCTGTGCCCTCGAGGAACTCCAGTCGAGCGGACGTGTACTCCGACAGAGTCGGTGAGGGCGACTGTACCCTTAGACACACACG